ATTAGTTTTTATTGTTACCAAATTTGAGGAGTTTTTTTTATACCTAATAATTGAAATTTTTTTAAGTTTTAGAGCAATAAGGACAGGTTGTTGTTGTGTTTTTTATTAAGGGTGGTGGGCGGGGCTCTAAACTTCTAGCCATGGGACTGGGTGTATTACATTTAATTAAGTTCTCATTTTTTTGTTTGTTTATAGAACTAAAACTTACTTCTTTTAATTATATATGCCTATATTATTTATAAATTATCCTAAATTATAATTAGATGAGATAAAAAATTTATACGACAAACGAAAATTGAACTAAATAAAAACTAAAACTAAAATTATTTTAAGATGAACTGAATAAAAACTAGAACTAAATTTATTTATTGAACTGAATAAGAACTAGAACTAAAAACTTTGCCTCTAGACTGAATAAAAACTAAAACTAAAATTATTTTCCGAACAAAAATATCACTGCTTATTCCTTCTTACTTTCCTTTTGCTGTAAAATATTTCTCATTGGCGAACTGGTAATAATAGTGGAATATTTCCTTTTTAAACATTCTTTGGTTTTCACTCTAATAAGTGAAATTACGTATCTAAAAATTTATCTGTTAAAAATTAAATGTGACAAAAGTAAAAAACAAAAAGTAAAAAACATTGGCCACCTGACGTCCGTGCGTTATCAATGACACTTTAGACGGTCGAAAGCTCACAAACAAATGATATCAATTAATCTATTAAGGTTGTGCTGACCCAAGTTATAAAACATAATAAAAACCCCTTGATTATAGTACTATGCAACAACATCATCATCAACAAAAAAAGTGGTTTTATGTCCATAATAGCTACAACAGGAATGTTCTCAAGCAAAAAATTACAAAGAATTATCAGAAAAAGTTAGGATTAATTTATTGGTAACAATGAGCGCAGCTTCACTACACTACTGCACATCTGAAACTAAGTATAGGGCCCTCACTCATCAGGCAAAAAGAAATTTTCTTGATTAGTCAACTATCTTGATTTCCATATTAAAGTATATAAATTGATTCTTACTCTCCCCTATTAAGGTAAATAAATTGATAAGCAATAAAAATTATATTTTTTTCTAATTTAAAAGTATTTTTTTACTGATTCTATCCGCAAAAAAAAAAAAAAAAAAAGTAAAAAAAGTATATACAGAGATGCATTACAATAAAGTTTAATTTTTGCATAAAATAATTCATATTTCCGCATAAAATAAATCATATTTCCGCGTAATTTAATTTATATTTCCGCATAACACTTTATAATCAGTTAATTTTATCGGGATTAAAGCACGAGGAAATATAAAAGTTGATTAATTATTTAGTATTGGATTAGAATTGGGATTTGTAATCCTTTCTAAATTGTTTTTGTCAATTAGATTTACACAAGAACTTGAGTCAATAATTATTTTTGTTATAACGTTTTCCACTACGCTTCCTCTAAATTGTTGGGCCAGTTGGAACTTGTAAGGATGCATGTGTAAATGCCTAGATAAAATCCACCAAAGTGATGTTCTAGACATGCCTAGCTGTTTAGAACGTGTTTGCGTTGATATTGCTGAATGTTCCTTAACACTGCTCTTTATGAGATCAATACTCATCTGGTTCTGCATTATTCTTGGTTTTCCTGTTAATGGCAAGTTTGACATTGAACATTATTGTCGGAGCCGTACCATTTGTTAACTTTAGTTTGATTTAATTAATAACTTTTAGTACTATTTTTTAGGGAATATACGTAAGTAAACTATTTTTTAGGTGTCTGAAATTGTCCTTACGGTGTTTTCACAGAGCACCGAGGAAGAGCATTTAAAAGAAAACTTAATCGGATTCTTAATCGGAGTTGAAAAACATACCCGGAGGTGGAGTTCGGGCACAATCTTTGTTTCCAAAGCAACTGCGCTACCACTGCGCCACGACTGCTCAGATGTAATATCTGTGAGGTTTCAATGTGAGCAAAGTATAGTTTTTTATTAACATTATGGTAACCACGTTTAGTCATACCAGGAGGCGTATTCATTAAACGACAAAAAGTTTTAATTGATGTGTATCCTTGTTTATTTTTCAAAAAGCTAACACAGTGCATAGGTTAATTTCTTTTATTTTTTTACCTTTGATTACTTCATTTCTATTTTCTATTGATTTATATACATATATACATACAACTATATTATTCGTTTATCCACTGCTATTTAAGTTATACAATTATTCTATGGGGAAGGGCGCACATAACTAATCGTAAATCTCTTTATCTGAATTAATTTTGTAAATCGTTTTTCAAGTTCAAAACCGTTTCTAAGAGAAATGAAAATCGTAAATGTATACCAACTAATTTTGTTATTTAGGTGCCCCAAGAAGAGCTAACGGTCTTGTCACAGAGCACCTTTTCACGCCTCCTTTTCTTACCGTGACGCGAAAATATCTCCAGAGTTCGTTTCGAAACTTCTGCTTCTAAAACAAGCGCTCTAACCACTGCGCCACGCCCTCGGCCGCTTAAAAGAAATTCCACAAATATAGAATTCCGTTTTTAGCGGAATTTCTTCACCACAATGCTTCCCACAGCACATTGTTTCTGTTTTAATCAAATAAAATTTAATATACATGTAAAATAGGATACATATACATACAATATACATGCCCAGTGGGCACACGACGTTATTTCGACGTTGATTTACAGTTGATTTTTAGTCGCGACGTCGTATAACCTAAAATCAACGTTGTATCAACGTTGAAAAATTTGTTTAAATCTATCAAATAACATCGACGTTGATTCCACGTTAATTCAACGTCTATATTACGAGTTCGACCGTTTGTAATTGCAATATGAGAACTAAAATACGCATGCGTGACTTAAATTTTTTTTTATTAGCATAACAAATATCAAGTAAAGACTTAAAAAGTTACTTATTAGCCCAATAAAAACAAGTAAAGTCACACATGCTAATAAATTAGGCCATCTGTTGCCTTTTTATAAGGTTTTGAATTTGACAATTTAACAATAATACATGGCTTAACTTGTGATGCAGTTATTAAATGGATATTTCTTTATGATCGTATTATTTCATGTGTGGATTACAAGAAGAGATTACTTGATATATTATATAAATAGGTACCCTCGTAACCGTCCGTTTTTTTATTTAGACATCGCTTTTATAAAGTTTCTGAATTTCCGTGTTTTTCCAAACTACGCTATATGCATAAAGGAAAGAGTGTTTAAAAGCTAGCTAAAAAATAAAGTGTCAATTTTTGTTATATTTTTTCGTTTAAAGTGAAGGTTAAACTTGTTTATAGTTATACAATTTTCAAAAAATTGCGATTTTTTCACTGTTAAGGAATCCTGCCAAAATAGGTAATTTTCATATAAAGAATTTAATATACCAATACAAATGCTCATAAATGATTTTGACATGCTCAAATAAATTCTTCATAGATCTTTCATTTGATATATAATAACCGATACTTTAAAATCTCCTTCATGTTTAAAAAAGATGCATACAGTTGCTACCGCAAAATAATGTATTGATTATAGCGCCATTTTTTAAAGTTATTTTCATTGTTGCTTTGTATTTTTCTTTACTTTAGATGGACCACAAGACTGCAAAAGATATTTGCATTTTAATTAATTCACATACATGCCAATCGAAGCCTTTGTTAAATGGTGACATTTACAAAATTTTTTCTGAAAATAATTTCAAATGATCAAAAACTTGTCTGAAATTAAAAAAACTGAACATTATACCTCAAAATGCATCTGATTTTAAAATATTCTCCAACAATATAAGATACTTGCATAAAAAGATAAATATCTTTAAAAAAAACCCTACCCAGTCATGGGCTGCTATTGTTAATTTTTTGCAGCAACCATTTAAATATGAAAGAAAAAGAAATAGTTCTAATACAATTATTCACTTAAACGTTGCAAGTGATTTGAATATTGCTTCAGACACAATGCAGAGAGTAAAGTGTGGTTCATGCAAAATAAAAAAAGATGAAATAGGTAGTTTACAAGAAAAAAACAGAAAATTGCAGCAGAGAGTTCGTTTTTTGAAAAAATCAATGACCTGTAACAAGCTTACAAACAAAAAATTTAAAAGACAGTATTTTTCACTAAATTTGTGGAAATTGAAATATTCAGAAGAAAAAAAAAAAACAGTTCATCAGAATAAGTTTCATTCTCTAGATTTTATAAATGAATTGATAATTCTTAAAATTAGTAGAACGAAGTTGCAACAAAATGTTAAAAAGATAGAAAAGACACACAAAATTGCGATCAAAGAATTACAGTAACAGATAAAAATCAAAGAGCAAGAAAATAAACAACTTGTAGAACAAAATCATTATTTAACTAGTATTGTTTTAGAAAAAAAAGAACATAATAGGTTACTTATAGAAACCAAAAAATTAAAAACATATGACCTACCCATAAGAAAATGTGTTTATGCTGCTATTATTAACAATGTGCCTGTGGAAAGCGTCTCATTTTTGTTAGAAAAAATTTCTGAACTGTTGCACAACATAGAACTGCAAGAAACACCTCACTCATCCACAGTAAATCGAATGGCATATGAGCCAGGTGTTTTAGCATTGGTTCAGGCTGGTGAGGCACTTTTTTATTGTGAATGTGCAACAGTAGTGTTTAATGCAACCACCGTTTTAGACAAACATGTAAATGAGTTCCTTATCAGTACCTATCCTCCGCAGAGATGTTATTCCTTATCAACCGCTAAACTTGCTTGGGGCACAGGATTTGACTGTGCCACTCATATTGTCAGTGTTATAAAAGAACTTGCCAATACATTTGCAGAGTTTAAAAATATGCCAGCAGTAGAAGTTTTAGATGTTTTCACTCAAAAAATCAAAAGTTGTCTGTCAGACAGAGCACCTGTTAATAGTTGTGTGAAAAACATGCTTCAGGAGGAGATGGACATTTAATTAATGCAACTGTACTGCAATGTTCATCCATTGGAAACTATTGCCTTAAAAGCATTATTAGCTCTTAAAACAATAGATAATGAGTTGAATATAAAATCAGCTAAAGGAACTGATGGGGTTGCAGTAACAGTCCTCAAAAATATTTCTAAGCTAAGGTAATCTTTTATATGTATATCTTTCATTATTTAATTTTTTTTTTAGTTTTATTTTCTTGTGAGCAATTATTTCTTTATTATTTCCACGTTTTGAAAATTTGAAATTTTAATTTTTTGCTCTTTAAAAATCAGGTATAGTTTTAAAGGCGATCCTGCAGCATTCAAAAGCTATCTTAAAAAAAACAATGTTGCTCCAGGGCTATTCCTTAGATATGTTGGTAGTAGATTTCATGTTTTGTTCCATATGGCAGGGATTGTTGTTACATACGAAAGACTTATAAAAACCTTTCTTGAAAAGTAAGTTTTTTTTAGATGAATATTTGTTTTAATAGAATTCTATGTATTAACATTTTCTCGTTATTCTAGCAACACCAAAAATAAAATTTGCTAACTCTTACTTCAAGATATGAGTAATGATATAACGCTTGTGCAACTGCAAGGGTTGGGCCTGATAGGAAAAATAATAGCTGGGCCATGGATGAGTCTGGTTTATAAAAATGCAACAGGAAAGAGTAATCTTGAGTTTGTAAGTTTTTAAGGTTTTCTAATAAACAAATAAAGTAGTTTAAAAAATTTACAAAAATTATTTTTTTAATAGGGTGACATTTTCCAGAAAGCAATAAGGAAATTAGCGTACTTCAAAAGTAATCCAGAATCAATTCTTTATACAGATGTGGATATTTTTAGTCAAGTATTAAATATCAAAAAAGATAAGATACACCAATCCCTTTGTGTAATAAAAAATAAAAATATTTTGGTAAAGATTTTATCAGCTTTAATAAGCTACACAGAGACAGTTCTCAAAAGACAGATAGCCAGGTATTTGACTGGCAATCTCTCAAATCCATCTAAAGAAATGATAAAAACCATACTATCTGCTCCACCTCATACAATGGAGGCTGAAAGGATCTTGGGCATGCTTGATTTTTTTGCGTCGTGCTCCTAATGCTACTTTTGGTTTTCTGGATTCTAAAATAAAAGCCAGGGTAAACAAAATATTAACATGGTTTGATGAGAAAACATTGCCAGAACAAGAAGATCTTATTCAATTTGTAATTCGCAGAGGAGCTTTAACGTGTCAAGCCTCTAAAAATTTTAATAATCTTTTGTATGAAGAAATAGGAAAAAGATGCGCCAAAGCTAATTTAAAAAAAAAGCGTCTGGAAAGAAAGCGACTAGAGAAGGATATTAAAAGAGCAATTGCTGAAAATGCCAAAACCACAAATCTTCTTTTTGTTAATATTGATGAAAAACAAAAACGAATTTTAGGAGTAATTTTGAAAAATGGAAACTTGATAGGGCAGCTCTTAAGCCATAAATGGG